TAAAGATCAGAAATACACTTGTGTTTAAAGAGCTGCTTTTCAAAATAGATTTATACAGTTGAATATATGCATGTGTTTGTGTGTATTGGACTCAACTGATCAAAGATCATCTGTCCTCCTTGCCATTAAGGTAAACAGTTGCTGGTTTGGTCCGTTTTCCCAATCCATGGCAGTATGGCAGTGGCTACTGCCCCTTGTAGGTTAGTATTGAGCACCCACGGGGAACCTAACAGTAGACTATGTGTTTGGAGTGTGTAGAATATAGAGAATTCCCTGTTGGCAGCTTTAACTGCTTTCCCAATCATCTCATCCAGTTGCCTTGCTCTTTGGGCTTCAGGACCAAGGGACAGGTGAGACTCATGAAATGGACAGAAAAAAATTAATCTAAATGATGTAAATGGAGTATTTTTCTATTCCAGATCTTATAGGACCTGAAAGAAACTAAGACACCCAGGGTTTATACTGCTTTATGCAAGGTTTACATTGTTTCCCCACATAAAACACCTAGGTGAGAACCAAGATGGACATTAGACTCTCCTGTAAGGTAAATGAAGAGTGTGTACGACAAATATAAAGGCTCCTCTACTTACGATGGGGCTATGTCCAGATACGCCCATCATGAGTGGATTATTTGTAAGTAAAAATGTCCTTAACACACCAAACATCAAAGCTTAGCCTAGATGACAGTTTCTATTGAATGTGTATCATATTCATACCATCACAAAGTTGAACTATTGTAAATTGGGGACCATCTGTATATCATTCTGGGCACAGGCTTAAGAGAGCAGGAAGAGTCATTCCTTTTTGTATTCCCATTACTATATAAAGAGCTAGACCTACTGAGTGAGAAAAGTTTCACAACTTCTTTCTGAAATGCTGCTGAGTAACAGGATGAGTAAAGAAGGTACATGTTAGAGGATCTACTACTGTGCCTCTCTATTAAGGAAGCAGGAGAGGGATTGAAATCTTTCTTGCATCCTTAAGACGACTGCCTTGGGAATTTGATCCAGGAGAAACTGGAACAAACTGTGGGGTAAATCCTAGAGTATTTCCTAAGCTAGTTGAGCACAGATAGGAGATGGATCTCACCACCAGTGAAAGATTTTTCAAACAGTTTCAATACATTTATTGAGGTTCTTCTTTTTTTTTTTTAATAGATTCTCAGTGGCTTACTTAGGCATTGATTGTTTCAGAAGTTTTTCTCGTGTATGAATTTCTCTGTGCTTATTCAGAGCAGAGCTTTTACTGAAGCACTTGCCACAATCCTGACACCCATATGGTTTCTCTCCTGTGTGGGTTCTATGATGTGCACGCAAATCAGAACTCTTACTGAAACTCTTTCCACAGTCAGGACACACATGGGGTCTCTCTCCTGTGTGTATCCTCCGATGTGCACTAAAATGAGAACTGTTATTGAAGCTTTTTCCACACTCTTCACATTGATAGGGCTTTTCTCCTGTGTGGGTTCTCTGGTGAATTATAAGGCTTGAGCTCTGATTGAAACGTTTTCCACACTCACTACATTGATATGGTTTCTCTCCTGTATGGATTCTCCTATGGGTGATGAAATTTGAACTGTCACGGAAACTTTTCCCACAGTCAAGACACTTATAAGGTTTCTCTCCAGTGTGGATTCTCCGGTGTCTAATGAGGCGTGCACTCCGACTGAAGCTTTTCCCACAGTCAGCACATTTATATGGATTTTCCACTTGTTGGGTTATCTGATGCATGAGGTGGGAGTTTGCACCAAAGCTTTTGCCATATCTAAGATATTTATTGGGCTTCTCTCCCAAGTAAGGTCTCTGATGACTTAAAACTTTATCCAAACTTCTCTCTGGGAGTGTGGGTTTTCCTCTTCTTTCTCCTGGGGTCCTTTCCCAGTGTCTTCCTGATCTACATTCAGTCTCACTGCCTTTACTGTGATTAAGATGCCGGCAAATTTTCCTTTCAGACCTTGCAAGTAATGTCCTATGTAGTTGTACTTCCTCAGAAATATCCCGTTTTAGATTCTCTTCATTCTCAAATCCAGCCTCAAAACCTGCCATGAGAATATAATTTTTAAAGTTACCCATTTCCTTAAGGATTCTTTGCCGAGGTAAAATAAGTGTCACACTAGATAATTAAAGATTAAAATTAGGGGGTTCTAGATCCTAAACAATTAATATCTATTAAAATTTCAGTGTTTTACTTTTCTCCTTGGTAACCTATCACACATTTCTCATCTACATAGGGCTCTTTAGTATATTCTTTTAATTCTTCCTGGATACCCAGGATCTTCAGAAAATCATCTCAGTATAACAAGAAAAATCTGCCAGATTTAAAAAATTATCACCATTTTTATACAGGAAAGACACATCCTAATGCTGGATTTTTGCCTCTTCTCAGGCTATTATGGTACTCTAGTTTATGTTCTTTGCCAGTAACTAAAGGGATTAGAAGGGAATGTCCAGGAAAACTCTGGGAAACTTGTATATCCAAAAAGAGTTATATGTGTCCCCTTCTGCTCAAATTCCAATATATGTTGAAAATAAAGATAGGGTAGAAGACTACTTGGTGTCTTCCAAAGAACAGTAAGCCTTC